TAATAAGCGCTCGTCCGCGTAAGGCTTTCTTTGCTAGATTATTTGAAAACACTTTGTAAACACAGTTTATGAAGTTCTTGCTTACATATAATATTTAAAGTTTAAGTTCTTTAGAAAGCAGTCCTGCGCATAATTAGTAAGGATACAAACCAATACCACTCAGTTGATTGCTGAATGATTAGTATAGTTGTAAGGACACAAATCAATACCAGTCATGTCCTACTTTTGTCTTGCATTTCCAGACTTGTAGTTTCACTCTAGCTCAGGGAATATAAATGAAAATTTACTACATGTCATAATTCGGGTGGTGGAGCACGGTGCTCGCTCGTTCTGTATATGTGGTTGGCCGTAAGGAAACGGACGGCGCAAATGATTCCACAGAATATTAAATAAAAACAAAAGTTTCATATAATAAATCTATTTTAAAAATAATAAATTGGACAAACACTTACCACGTCTGTATCTCTAAGTGGTCGCAAAACGAGAGAGTGCGCAACTTTTTAGTTATTGTTTAGTTGCGCGCGAATTAAACTTCGAAAAAAGTTCCAATAAGAGGAAAAGAAAAGATTGCTATGCCGATACAGACGTGGCAAAAGAAATTGGGCAGGGGCGGCGTCAACATTCTCCTCGCCTTGCAGTATTACTGCAAATACAGTTTACAATAAATTACTTAAAACTAACTTAATTAACTGGCTCATGCACTTCCTCTTCCACGTCTTCTTTGTAGATGGGGTGGCCGACGAGACGAATCGAGTCAAATTCGGTCCGGGAAATGCCGCTGAGATGAATGAAATGTCAGTCGGTCATTGCCATGCCGCCAATTTGCATAGAAGTCACAACCTTCCGAGGTCGGCGAGACGACTCGAGTCTAACTCGATCCTAGGTAGGCGGTGAATGTGAGACTTGTTGGCAGCCAGTCTACTTTACGGTACCGATATTATACGACACCGGATATTATATATCCCAGTGTCGTATTTTGGGCGATGAGTTGGCCCATTACTGCTGGTTGTAACCCTAGCGTGGTAACGGACGACGCTGTATTTGGGCACTCACGGAGATTTCTGTTTCTCCACCCTGGTTGTCCCGAAACATTAGTTCGCACACTCGGCTGTCTCCACGTGCATGCGTACGCAGTCGCAATCGTGCAATCGTGGAGGCGAGGATAACAGTGGCTGGACTGACTCGGTTAATCATGGCCCGCACTGTTACGAACCTCGTCGCAGTTCGAACACTTATTAAGGGAGTTGGTTATAGCGCTATTCTTTGTTGCCAAGGTTGTGTTGCGTGCCTTCGCTGGGGTGGCCGGCGGAACGAATGGAGTTACGCTCGGTCCGGACAATGTTGCTGTTGTTGCGCTGTCACCGTTGGGCTGGACGCCATGGGTGACGAAATGTGCGCTCGAGACATAGAAGGCTGCATTATCGGCACTGCACACTGTGCTTCACGCTGCGTTGACTGCTGCCATTGCTGTTGTGGTAATGGCTGTTGCTGCGGCTGTGTCTGCGACTGAGGTTGCGACTGTGACTGAATCGCTGTCTGCGTCTGTGTTAGGATCTGGGTAGGCGTTGATGTCGGCGTGGGTGATGTCTTGGCGACTGCTGTTGCAGCATAGTCTGTTGATGGAGCGATTGTTGTTTCTGTTATGTAAATATAAAATTAGTATAATTTTGACTACAAAAATGGTTTTGTGTTTGTTGTTGCGTTATTGTTAAATTTTGTGCCTCGCCTTTGCCATTTATTTTCGCTTCTTCGGAGGGAACGGAACCTGTTAAGATCCAACCGAACACTGTACGTTGTGCAACAAGGGGGCGCTAAAAAGTTGGCTCTTAAACTGTGTTCCTTGGTCCGTTGTGATTTGTAATGGTACACCGTAGCGGCATATCCACCCGGCAAAAAGTGTGCGGGCAWCACATTCGGCGTCGATACTATCAATGGGAAATGCCTCTGGAAACCTGGTGAAACGATCGATAATTGTCAAGCAGTAGCGATACCCCTTTGAAGGTA